GGGAGCGATGGGATGCCACGGGGAGCGATGGGATGCCACGGGGAGCGGGATGCGGGGTTGCCGTGATCCAGCTGGATCTCCCATCTCAGGGTCTGCTCTGCCGGGCGGTTCCTCCCGCACCGCGGGCACGCCGGGGATGCTTTTTCCTGCAGCAAACCCTCGGCAAAAAAATCCCAAATTCCCCGCTGAAAGCAGCGCTGGGGGATCCGCGGGGAGTCGGGCTCTGGCGCTGCAGCAGCCGGATTTAACTAATGTCCTCCTCTCTTCTCTTGTAGAACCGACATCTAAACCCGCTGCAAAAAACCAACCCGCAAAAATGGAAACCGTGCACGAGCTGATCCCCTTCGCCAAGGAAATGCTGAGCCAGAAGCCCAACAGGAAGATGGTCAAGCTGTACATGCTGGGCAGCGTGCTGGCCTTCTTCGGGGTGGTCATCGGGCTAGTGGAGACGGTGTGCAGCCCTTTCAGCTCCGAGGGCAGGCTAGAGGAGGAGGAGGAGGAGGAGAAGAAGAAGAAACCTGCCGCGACACGAGAGCAAAGGGTCCCCCAGAAACAGGAGGATTTGATCCTGGACAAGGGCAAGACGCCGGGGGCGGTGCAGAGAGCCCTGGTGACCAGACTGCACGCGTCGTAGGGACCCGCCGAGCTGCCTGCTGAGCAACCGAGCACAGAGACTCTGCTGCCCCGGCCTCCCTGGTGGTGGTTCCAGCACGAAGAGAGAGAGAGAGAAAAGGCTTGGCTGAAGGAGACTTGAGAGAAGAGAAGGGTTTTATTTGCTGCTGTGCAGCAGTGGGGGGAAAAAATACCTTTTGTTGGTATAAACCTGTGCCAAGATGCACAGCATGGTTTCTTATTTTTATTACAGATGCATTTTACACCATTTTGCAAGATCAATAAATATTTTATATGGTACCCAGTGCTCTCTTGCTGCGTTTATTTTATCTTTTACTGGTTTTACTCACTTCTGGCTCCTTTCAGGTGGCAGCTGGGGGGATCCAGAGAGTAATGAAGGGGCTGCAGCCTCTCAGTAAAGTCCCCCCAGTGAGGCTGCTCTGGGGCCAAGGGGGTCAGTGGGTCTGTACTCCTGGCAGCTGCTCCCTTCCAAAACGAGCCAGCTGGGGAGGAGGTGGCATTTGTGTCACATGGGTGACAACCATGCCCCAAGCTGGAGGTGGGGTTGTATTTCAGGGGGTTATTTGGGTTCAGTGGCACGGATTCATGTCTCTGTCATGGCCATGGGTTTACAGAACTGTTTAAAAATCAATCAATAAAACCCCTGTCCTTGCCCTGGCAATCCTCCAGCTGGCTACAGCTGCTGCACAGCAAAAAAAACTTTAGAAATCTCTTCTACCCTTGCTGAGATCCTTCACAAACCCACCACAGACACCTAATCGTGCAGAGTAATATCATATTCCAGTATTACAGGGGTGTCAGGTGGAAAAATTGAAGCATGGAGGTGGCACAGCCAGTCTGAAGGGTGTGGAAATAGAGTTCCAAGCTTCAGGCTGTACCCAGGGCACTGCCAGAATCATTAGAGGACTTTCACCTATTTAAAAATCATTCTGGGCACAGGCAGAATC